ATACAAAAGTTTACTTTAATTAATGTAAAGCTAGATTATAAATAATAATGATAACTATATCTTGCTAAATATCTTTTGTGGGAATGAAAGAAACAAGCCACACAGTGTTGCTTCTTTAGATAGAGCAAGACCAAGTCGAGTTTTATTTTGAGGTACTGTAGGTTTGTGCCGCGAGATACTTATACTGTGCCATATATTTTTTGCAAAAAGTATACAAAATTATAATAGCGTTATTTGGTAAATATTTCTGTGACCTATTAATAAACTTATATGGATTCAAGACAAAACTAATAGTTGGCACGGTAGTGTTACATTTTTTATTCCTATGGTGTCAGTTTAAGTATTAAAAATCCCGTAACCAGCCATAATAGATTTAGCTCTAGGCCAATTTTACAGTTGGCACAACATTGATATAATCATTAATTGTCATTAATTAATACACTGGCAAGAAATTAACTTTGCATAAGATTCTAATAAAAATATTTTAATTTATTTTTTTACTAATTTAATGACATTACTTGCAGTAACCAATTAACCACTCGTTTGATTTTTGATTTCTTCGTGTTCTAATGTGTAGGCTTTCTTACTGTTAATTCAGGAACATTACGTTTAATTAGAATCAAATAATGAGTGTTCGGGTGTGGAATCCTATCTAAACATCAGTAAAAATTTGTGATTAATTATTAATTAGATAAATCCCGACCATAGTGTGACTACATCCCGCAAGCCTTATGTTTCAACTGTCTGATTACTGAACCACCCACCTCCCAATATTAGGGTTGGAATCTATAAATAAGCTTTAGGAGTGAATATACCAATTGAAAAGTAATAAATATGAAGAATAGCTTAAATTAAGAATATTTTGCTATTCTATTGTATGGAATATTTTAAGCATATTTTATGTGCAATTTTATCCTTTTGAAAATATAAATACTTAATAAAATTTATATATTAAAATTACATTTTTATTCTGTGGCCATAAACCTTTTATGAGTAATGATCCTACGACATTTTAAAGGTTATATTATAACTAAGTAGTTTTATGTCGTATTTTTATTACGGCAATAAAATATATTATTTTCTTACTGTCGTAAATTTAAACAGGTTGAATTTAATGTGCCTACCTCTCTGGACATTTTAAGATAAATAGTTTTTAGTAGAAAAAATATAAAAATTGATTCTCCAATTTGATTTGAAGAAGAGCGTACTTGCCGTTATCAAATTTATCTTATTGATAAGTATTTTTACCAGATTTCAAAAAAGGAGGAGGTTCTCAATTCGTCGGTATATATATTTTTTTATGTCTGGCTAGGGTCACCTTATTTTGACTACTTAGCTCTGTCAGGTCTTCTAGACAGTCTTTCACCAGTCGTGATTTGATTTCTGGTGAGAGAATTCCTTTTATTCGAGGAAAGGCTATATCAGGAGCACCAATTATTAGTTTCCAAATTCTCCAATTATAATCGGTATTACTATAAAAAAAATTATAATTGCCCCTGCTAACACAAGTAAGGATAGTAATAATAGAATAGCAGTAATTACTACAGCCCATACAAATAATGGTATACGATCTAATGTTATTCCTTCTGGTCGTATATTGATAACTGTAGTAATAAAATTAATAGCTCCTAAAATTGAGGAAATACCTGCTAAATGAAGTCTAAAAATAGCTAGATCTACAGAAGAACCTCTGTGTGCAATACTTGAAGAAAGAGGTGGATAGACTGTTCATCCTGTCCCTGCTCCTCTTTCAACCATTCTTTTTATTAATAATAAAAGTAATGAAAATGGCTATCAGAGTATATAGCAATAGTTTTGCCTTATAGTTGCTAATTTAATAAGTATAAATTTGGTCAAAATCTAATAATTGGGTGCATAAGAAAATCCTTCATTTTTTAATGTATGTTTAGCGATAATTCTGTACCAGCTTGTCCGATTTCTATGATTCTTTTTTTGTTAGTATGGGGATACCTTAGGAGTGGTTTCATATAAATTAGGTTAAGATGTGGTGATGGCATCTGCACGATTTTGATGTCGGATTTTTAATATTAGTTTTAATATTTGTTATTAATCAAAATACATATTAACATCGATATTCACAAAATAAATTATTGTAGATAGAAACGTCAGTGTCAATTCAGAGAAAAAGTAGAGTTGGACGAAGGCGTCATTTTTCAAACACAATTTGAATAATTACTGTGATTAGTAAATTTCTAATAAATGATGTTAAGTTCTCTTAAATTTTTAACTAATTTAATATTTTTATGGAGGACATTCAAGAATTAAAGAATGTCAGTTCACACAGATTAAAATAATTAAATAACAGTTTGTGAAATATATCTTAACTTTCTTGGATATTTATTAAAATAAGTTTTTATCTTTAATGTTTTACATATTGATAAATTTAAAAATTATTGAATAATTTGTTAATTTATGTTCAATATCAAGAAATTATGGCTAAGACAGCTTTATCTGATTAACTCTGGAAAAGTAAAATATAATTGGGTTGCTCAAGTTATACACTTATTTAAATTAATTGACCATGAAGACATATGGAATAATCTTGATGCTAATAATCTAAAACTAAACAAAAACAAGTTACTAACTGCTTATTACAATAAACTTTATAAGTTGATATCATAGGAATTACACGATGTCAGTTTTGTCCTTATATACAGCTTTTTCCCCTGATAAAATTCCCCAAAAATATTTACTTCTAAAACTGCCCATACAAGTTACACGAACACTTGCACAACTCCGATTATAACTAATAAATTTTAGTTAAAATTTACACTTAATAATAATATATATGTAATAGATCCCAATAATGTTTGTACGGTATGTAACATAAATGTAAATGAATCTCTTACACATATCTTGTTCGATTGTCCAATATATAATGTTATGAAACCGAAAACAAATTGTTTTAACGACCTGGAGGCTTTAATCTATGCATTATAAAATATAACCGAACCAGATGCATGGTGTATATTTTCTTATATATGCAATATTCTAAAATTAAGATTATTTATTTTAAATGAATAAATTATAATTAAGTAAACTTTCAGTAATAGGGTTCACGGGTGCTGGTCGATATGTAACTGAATTTTTTTTTTTTATTTTTTTTTATTTATATAGCATAAACTTCTTTATGGCCGCCCTACAATCAGCATTAGTAAGCATTACCTACTACTGGACCTATTGTTATTTTTGTTTATTATAATTTTTTTTGTATATATTATAAAACCTTAACTCTTGCTGTAACTTAGGTTTATAAGCAATAAACGTATTATTATTATTATTATTATTATTATTATTATTATTATTTATTATTATTAAATAAATAATAAATTTTAATAACTATATGAAATCAACATATTTATAGATATTAAAACTAAAACGTTAGTTGTTACGATGGAGCTGAAGGTAGCACAATTACCTGTCAAGCGAGAGAGTTCAAATGTAGGATTGAAGACTAATTGAATTAAATCTTTTTTTTTCAAGTTAATTTTATTTTATTAATTAGTAAAAGTCATAAATTATTTTATTTATCTTATCTTAAAATAATTTGTAAAATGTGTAGATTTTTGTTAGTAGGTCGCAGAAAAAATAAAGTGTACAACTCGAGTGAATTGTCCGTATCGCATTCGTCTTTATACGATATAGCGATATGGCACAAATTACTATTTCCGTTGATTGTTTATTATTGAGTTTGATTGTGGAAAACCCTGTATCAATGACCTCTATCATCAAATAAATTGTTTTTCTATTAATCAACAATCTAGTATAGGCAAACAAATATGTATATTAAAAATAAAAAATTTAACATCTAAATCAATTTGATCAAAATCATAATATTCCACTTTAAAATTCATCATTATTTATGAATAGTTAAATTAATAGAAATCAAATTTATTAATTAATAATACGAAAGACTGAAAAATATTGTAACTAACTCGTATATTAAATGATATCTGGATCACTAATCGCTCATATTTGATTAATACACTTTTGTTCAATAAATAATTATTATTATAAATCTATATAATTATATACAAGAACTAATAGGTCATTAAAAAGATTCAGGTAATAAAAAATCGACATTTTGATCTTCACAAAAATTTGAAATAATTTTCTTTAATTTTTTTTAAGATAAAATACACTAATCGATAAGATCAATTGCTTAAACTTCAAAATAAATTGGTAACCATATTTCATATATTTTTTATAAGAGGGCTAAGTAGAAACAAATATTTTTTCTGAAATGGCGCCCGATTTTTTCTCAAAATTAAATTATAAATACCTAGTTTGTCTTATTTATACTCTATTTTAACGCAAGTATCTATACCTAAAATTATACTCAATTAAGTAAAATTGAATCTACAATTACAGTTCTATATATTTTTAAAATATAGTCGACAAATTAAAAAGATCAACCTGTCAAAATATTTAAAAGTAACTTTCCATAAAAATAGCTACAAGAATAAAGCGTTTTATTAAAACTTCTCTACGTCATATCAACTGACCATATCAACCTGTCTATCAAAGAGGTACCCTATATCTGTATACATTTATTGAAAAAAGGACTAAAACCCTTTTGAGTAGTTTCTGCTCGGACAAACACGGCCAAAGAAGCATGAAAAGAAAAATGTTAAATGGGTTAATACCTCCCTCGCATGTACCTAGGCGCAAATCTTTTTCAAACACCCCTACGTATGCCATCTGTCTTTGTAAAATCGTGGGAACTCGAAGTGGATTGCGATTCTCACGGATCCAACACCCTATACACACAACTTCCATCTCTGTCCCACTTTCTACGGCCACATATGGAGGCGTTCGGACTCAGAGCTCGTCGTCGCGCAAGAAACACCTGTCCCTATACTCGCCGTCCATAGGTCGAGGGTGGAACCCCTCTTTACTTATCCTAAGGGTCTGTGACGTCAGTGCTTCCTATAAATACGGTGGCACTTCGAAGGTTGGGCATTCACTTTTCGAAGTACGAACTGTTCAGTTTAAAACGATCTGCTTAAAATTATTATTATCGACATGAGTTATTACTACGACGAAGTTTTTAACAATTCCGTTAACGACAACAAGTTCAACGACAAGAAATCGAAGTCGGCGATCCATCAAATCAAGAAGATGATTAAGTGTGTCTTGAGGAAAAACAACAAGAACACTTACGTCAAAAATCCGCAGCCGAATTACTACTACGACGAAGAGATTAGTGACAATATCGCTAATGAAATTTTAGAAAATGAAATCTTCGAAGATATCGACAATTGTGACGAATTTTCCGCTGTTCCTGTTTACGAAAACGGAGAAATGGACTTCCTGCCTGTGTCGAGAGGTCAACGATACATTCCTGTTCACTTTGCAAGAACTGACGCTGGTACATTCTTCTGGACGTCAATCACGGGACCTGACGCTGACATTTGCTGCCACGGTGACAAGAATGCAACGTCTAATTACCAAGTTCCTCAGATGCAAGTTCCGGCCGATAGATGGGCTCAAGCGTAATCATTTCTCATTTATAAAAAAATGATTTTCGTCCTGTGATCGACCCAGTGCCTTTAAAACGAACTTTGTGATTGTTGTTTGCTCAAGTTTTACTTTTTAATTCTTTAATTTTGACTGAAGTCAAATGTGATATTGTAGTTTTAAATTTTTATTTGATTTTTTGCAGATTTTTTATCTGATATTGTGATAAAAGCTTTAATATTTTTTTTTGTTTAGTTGTAAGTTAATCTAATGTCTTCCAGTAATTTTAAGTAAATATTTTTAATAAAATTTATTTTGACACTATTTCTTTATTTTTTTCTCTCTCTATTTTCAGGTGCAAAAGCAATAATCAATAATGAAACAATAATTTAAAATAAATCTGAAGTACCACAAAAATCAAACTCCAAAAACCTTTTAAAAATAAATCTTTTAAAATTAGAATGGTACTTTAATTTATTTTTAATTAGCTTTCATAATTGAATAGTTTTAAATACAAACATGTGACTACAAGTTCTTTAGGTATTTACAAACAGGTGTATCTACTACTTAAAAGTAATAAAATATACAGAAGCAGGTAATTAAAAATTCAAAGCAATTAGGTATGTATCTACAAAACAAAAATAGCAACCAAAAATAAATCAGAAAAATGTTAATAAGGCAATCTGACCTGGTTATAAAAATTTCTTGAAGAAATATATAGGTTGCCTCAGGGTCCTTTGATGAATGTATCATAGCAGGTAAGGTAGATGTAGACCTGTTGAATTTTCAAGTAGTTGGGCTTTGCATGGTCGACTTTATTTCAATGGGATGCTGTTTTACCTACACAAGAGGGTGATGGAAGAATGGATGGAATTTTTTTTTAAGGTTTGGGTGTAAAGATACGTGTCTTCGAGAAGTACAGTTGACTACAAAAAACTTATTTTCATGCCTATACAGTTTCTTTTTTTATCAAATAGAGGGGTATACATTTAAACATTTTAGATTAAGTTTTGTCTTGAAGCATTAAAGGTAGAATAATTTTTTTTTCTTAAAAATGACAAAAAAATGTGTAAAATGTATTTATAGGATTTTAATTTTTTTTAATATTAAACTTCACATTATTATACATTTTATTCAAATTACTTATGGATAATAATAATAATAATGTTATGTTTATTTAGCTTTTTGGACAATCATATTAGATATATCAAACAGTTTTATAACATATATATTATAAATAAACAAATTAAGATCGATCTAGGTCCATTAAAACCAACATAGGCTGTGCATGGACCCCCATTTGTATATTACACTCAAGACGCATAAAAATAAATTTAACATTCATAATAATTATTGTACATTAAATAATATTTATTGTAATAAATGCATTAAAAAAGAAAAAGATATTAAGGAAAAGAAAAAAACAACAGATTTGAACACAATTACAACGATAATATAGAATTATTCAACAGATTGTTGGGGGGGGGGGGGGGGGGGCAGCGAAGAGAAGAATTTACCTAAATTAATAATGTATTTTTTTGATATTTGCAGAGTTTATTTTGTCTAGATATATTTTATAAACTTTAGGAAGATCATTATAAATTTTCCGTGACAGATGAGTATGACATCGTAGGCTAATGATTTTTTGTATTTGCTTAATTTTTATATTATTATTTTCTTTGTACCTTGTGGGATAGTCATGATTAACTTTTTCAGACAATTTTTTATTTTTATAAATAAATTGAATAATTTGATGTAGAGACATTTGATTAAATATCTAGTATTCCGGTTTCTAAAAATAATTTATTAGATAGGTAAGTAATTTTCTTGTTGTAAATAATTTTTAAAATTCTTTTTTGTAGTACATCAAGTTGTTTAAGATGACAATATGCTGTACCTCCCCAACTCATTATGGCATACCTTAACTTTGATTCAACTAGAGCGTAATATAAAATTTTTAAGTATTGTAAATCTAAAATATTTTTTAAGTATTTAAACGGGTATAATAACTGTCTTAGAGTTTTAGTACGTGAATACCCCATCTTAAATGCGAATCTATGGTCACTCCTAGATATTTATAATTTTCTTTTGAGTTTATAATAATATTTTGTGAGGAGTTTTGTATCGTTATTGTTTTATATTCTGGTAGGCATCTAATATTAGAAAACGGCAAAAAAAAAGTCAGTGACAGATGACTAAACCTGTCAAATATCTGTTCTAAACCATTTTCGGCTTTAATTTTTAAATCGTTCCATGTTTTTTCAGTATATAGGACAGCAGGGTTATCTGCAAAGCTGATAATTTTTCCACTAGAAACCGAAGTAAGCATTACATTAATATAAATTGAAAATAAAATTGGTCCCAGGATAGTTCCTTGAGGTAAACTAAAATTTTTTTCTGAACTTGTGATATTATCATTTTTTACTACTTGTAAGCGTTCTGATGAATAGTTTCGAAATAATTCATTGGTTACTCCACGTAATATTGCATCCTCCAAAGCCTGTAATATCTGAGTATGACACACAGTATCGAAGGCCTTAGCAAGGTCCAAGAATACACATAAAGTTGGGTTAATTTTCTCTAAAAACGTTAAGATGTTATCTACAAGTTCTCCTGTGGCATCATTAGTTGATAAACCTTCTTTAAATCCGAATTGTTTTTCAGAAACTTATTATTTACTCAACATTTAACAACTCTGTTTTTTAAGGGTTTTTCGAATATTTTAGCGAGAGATGTTATGACTGAGATTGGTCTATAGTTGTTTAATTTTTTGTTATCGCCTTTTTTATGTACCGGCGTAATAACCGCTTTTTACTTTCCTATCTGTATACAGATATAAGGAAAGTATAGGAATCATGATTTTTTTCGACCTCGAGTTTTCGACGGATTTTTACGTTTTGAGGTCCCCTGAATCCGTTTTGACTATTTTCGCGATGATGTCTGTCTGTGTGTGTGTGTCTGTGTGTGTGTCTGTATAACGCATAACTCATGAACCGATACACAGAAAAACACCAAATTTGAAACTTAAGCTTTGTTTCAGCGTCCAATGAGCTGATTAGATTTTGGGCAAATTCGGAACATCTGGGGGGGTACTTTATAGGTGGTCATTTTTATATTTTATGAAATATATCTGTTATTTACGTTTGGAGAAGAAAATTCTTCAAATAAAAGTTACTTCTAATATAATTATCTATAATTTTTGTTATATACAAAATTTTCCTAAAATGGTCCGTATTCGAGAAATTTGACAAAATGTAAAAAAAATAATTTTTTATAAAAATTGTTCAAATAAAAGTTGTTTGTAATATAATTCTCTATAATTTTTATTCTATAGATAATTTCTCTAAAATGGACCGTATTCGAGATATTTGAGAAAATGTGTAAATTTCGAATTTTGAAGAAAACTCAAAAACGGATAAAGAAAAAAACATTAAATTTTAAACTTAAGGTTTATTTCGGCCTGACGTAAAATGATTAGATTTTGGACATAGTCGGAACATCTGGGGGGGTACTTTATGGGAGGCCACTTTTATATTTTATGGAATATATCTGTTATTAATGTTTGGAGAAAAAAATTGTTCAAATAAAAGTTACTTCTAATATTATTATCTATAATTTTTGTGTTTTGTAAAAATTTCCTGAAATGGTCCGTATTCGAGAAATTTGACAAAATGTGCAAAATTCTGATTTTTATGAAAGTTTTTAAAATAAAAGTTGTTTGCGATATCGATCTCTATAATTTTTGTTTATGCATGATTTTTCTAAAATGGACCGTAATGAAAAAATTGTAGGAAATTTAAATTTTTCAGTATTTTCGTTTTCTATGAATATCTATAGAAAAATGTTTCGAGGTAGATGTATGTGGCATTTAGTTTATCCTCTAAACATTTATAGAGATGCTGTAATAGGTTGTACAAAATAACCGGAAAAAGCCTACAATAACTAGATAGGAAAGTCATGTGTTGGACACATCAGATTTTTTAAATTTTTGAGGTACTGTACTTGTAATAAAAATTCTATTTAACTATTTATAATATGACTTATAGGTTTTGATATTATATCTGAGGTTTTTCTAAGTACTTCTGATTTTATATTGTCATATACTGGAGATTTTTTAAGTTTTAGTGATTTAATTATTGTTATTATTTCTTTTTCATTCACAGGTAATAAAAATAATGATTTTTGATTTTTTTCTCTAAGTGGTGGTGGTGTATTAGGCTTTTTAATTTGTTTTGCACATGATTTACCAACATTAATAAAAAAACTCATTAAAAGCTTCTGCAATGCTCGCGGGGGTATTACAAATTATATTGTTTGTGATTATTTCTTTGGGATCTTTCTTTCGGTCATTTACACAAATGTTTTTGACTACATTCCATAGATTTTTTGGAGTATTTCTGCTTTTATTTATTTGGTGTAATTTTTATAGGTGTGATATGTTATTTTTTTATATTATATATAAAAATAATAAAAAAAAATAATAATATTAATAATAATAGTTAATTAAATTATTTTATTTTAATTTTCAAAAAGATTAAATTCTTGAATTTTTCTTATTCTTTAATTTATTTGATTTACTTTTTTTTAATTTATATTGTATTTTATTGTACCCTCTTATAAGTGTCTGAATTTTTTTATAGAATAAATAACTTAGTATATAATTGGGTTTTATTATTACAAATATGAATCAGACGAAATAATTGAATATGACTTAAAAATAAAAAATATGTACCTATTACACATACTTAATAGTATATTACGTAACGAGAGTTGTAAGTAACCTATTACGCACGAAGTCGCGCAGCGGCGATTGCGTAAATTTTACGAGACTTTTTCTACGCCCACTTAAAACATTCTCAAAAAAGGATTTAACATTATGCTTGTGTCGTCAATTCATAAATTTTCGATAGGTAATTTTGTACCTTTTTTGGATTTTAGCGGTAACAAATTATGTGGGGCAGCTTGAGCTTTTTCTAAAATCTCCGGGGGAGTGGCCATAATTTCATCACTTTTACTGCTAACAAACATATTCGTAGGTAAAGTTGAGAACGTTTATTTCCATAGCATGCTAAGAAAAGCGACATATTCTTTGAAAAATTGTATAATATGTTGCAGACATTTAGGGGCATCACTCTTTTAATCCAAAATATATCTAGCTAATGCTAAAAGTTTTTATGTTTTTTAAATGACTAAATTTATGTAAATAGACCAAACAAAGTCATACGTA